GGGGGGGCAGGTGCAGCTGGGAGCATTGAAGGTGGGGCTCTGATGGCGTTCTCCCTACCCCCAGTACTCGCCGGTGCTGAACAAGCTGTTCTGCCAGCTGGCACAGTCATGCCCGGTGCAGGTGCGGGTGGCACAGGCTCCGCCCCCTGGTGCCATGATCCGCGCTGGTGCTGTCTACAAGAAGGCTGAGCACGTAGCTGAGGTCGTGCGGCGCTGCCCCCACCATGAGCGCAGTGCCGAGCACAGTGACGGTGTGCCAGGGTGGAGCCTGGGCCTTGGGGGAGCAGAGTCTGGACCCTAGGAGTCATTGTGGGGCAAGGCCTGGGTCCTGGGGGCGTGACCTGGGTCCTAGGAATCATTGGGGGTGGGGTTTGGGTCCAAGGAGACATTAGGAGGCAGGGTTTGGGCCCTGGGGTGTGGGGCTTGGGTCCTAGGTGATGTTAGTAGGTGGGGCTTGGGCCCTAGGAGAGACAAGGGGGTGGGGTTGAGCTTTAGCAGCCATTAGGGGTGGAGTTTGAACCCTGTGAGCAGGGCCCGGGCCCTGGGAGATGCTAGGGGTGAGGTTTGGTCCCTGGGGGTGGGGCTTGAGGTCTAGGAGACGGGGGGGGGCCTCGGGCGCTGGGGCTTGGGGTCTAAGAGACTGGCAGCGGGGCTTGGGTCTGGGGAGGGGGGCTTAGGTCTTAGGTGACACTCAGACATAGGGTCTGGGCCCAAGGGGTAGGTCTTTCTCTTGGGGGCAGGGCCAGGCCCCCAAGGGACATGGGTTTTGGAGGGCAGAGCCAGGGCTCCAGGCCCTGTGCTGGGCCCCTGACCTCTTGCTCTGCCCTCAGGGGTGGCTCCAGCCCAGCACCTGATCCGAGTGGAGGGGAACCCACAGGCCCAGTACTGCCACGATGAGACCACCAAGCGCCACAGCGTGACTGTGCCCTACACCCCCCCAGAGGTGGGCTGTGGGTCAGGAGTGAGGGGGGGGCAGAGTGAGGGGCACCAGTTTAACCCCTGCTTTACCAGGTGGGCTCGGACTCCACGACTGTCCTCTACAACTTCATGTGCAACAGCTCATGCATGGGGGGCATGAACCGGCGCCCAATCCTGGCTATCCTCACCCTGGAGACGAAGAGGTGGGACATCCCTCCACTCTTGGGACCCCCAGGATCTTGGGGATGGATGGAGGAGGTTGTGGGGAGCTGGGAGTTAGTGGGTTCCCCTCGGTGCCTCTTCTGGGGTCTCTTGGGTGTGACGGGCTCTTTTGAGGTCTTGGTTTTTAGGTCTTGGCTCTTTTCAGGTTTCGTTTTAAGGTCATGGTAGGTCTTCTGAGGTCTTGGTCCTAGGGTCTTGACAGGTCTTGTGGGGCCTGGGTTCTAGGTGACTCTTCTGTCATCTTGGTTCTAGGTTTTTGCCTCTTGTGAGGTTTTTGGTTCCAGATTTCAGGTTTTGGGTTTCTCCTGGGATTGAGGTTCTAGGTCCTTCGTGGGCTGGGATGTCTCCTGGTTCCCGGCCGGTCTTCTGGTTTCTCAGTCCGTAGTTATGGGTTCTTCTTGGGTCTTCCTGGATTTGGGGTCCTGGGTCTGTTGGGATTCTAGGTCCTTCTAGCTCCTGGTATCTTGGTTCTGGGATCTCAGCACATCTTGGGTGAGAGCCCAGATGCTCCCAGAAGGGTTTGGGGGGCCCAGACACCCAGGTTCTCTGCTGCTCTGACCCCCCCCCCCCCTCCCAAAGTGGGCAGCTTCTTGGCCGGCGCTGCTTTGAAGTCCGGATCTGTGCCTGCCCTGGCCGCGATCGCAAGACAGAAGAGGAGAATTTGCGCAACAAGGCGGCAACCACTGGGGGTGGGGCCAAGCGGGGTGAGTGCTCTGGAGGCCTGGGTTCTCTGGAGGGGGATAATGAGAGTAGCGGGGCTGGGAGCCCAGGTGCCTGGGTTCTCTTCAGCTCTGTACCCCCCTCCCCCCAGCTCTCAAGGTCCCTACAGATGACCTCCCAAACCCAAAGAAGCGAGTCCCGAATCCCAGCACTGAGATTTTCACCCTCCAGGTAACTGTGGGGGGCCCCCACCCAGATACCTGGGATCTTTGAAGGGTGGAGAGGGGAAATCAGTCGTCATCCCCCCCCCCCCCAAAGTGAGGGGGGGATCAGTTTCCACCAGTTGGGAACCTGAGCCACGCTTCCTTCCATTAGGTGGGTGGAGGCTGCGGGGGCAGGGGTGGCCTTGGATAGGGAGGCGGGGCCCAGCCTGACCTTCACCTCCGCCCCCCCACTTGTATCCACAGATCCGGGGCCATGAGCGCTATGAGATGTTCAAGAAGCTCAACGAGGGGCTGGAGGCCTTGGACGGGCAGGAGGCCCGCGCCGAGGACCCAGGCATCCGGTCCCCCAAACCGTGAGTGCATGGGGGGGCAGGGCTTCAGGGCAGGGGGTGGGGCCAGAAGGTGAGAGGGGGTGTGTGGCTTAGGGGGGGTTGTCTTTTTGCAGGGGGTGGAGTCTGGGTGGTCTGTGGGTAGGGGTGAGAGGGGGTTTATGAGCCCAGATGTCTGGGTTCTCTGGGAGGGGATTGGGGTCTATAGGGGGGGTCAGACCCCTGGGCCATTGGGAGCCCAGACCCCTGGGTTCTCCAGTGAAGATGGGGGGGTGCTGCCCAGATGCCTGTATCCACCTGCCTCCCTCCTCACTCCTCCCACACAGGCTGCTGAAGGCACGCCGTGCCAAGGGGCTGGCCCTGGTTTCATGCAAGAAGCTGCTGGTGAAGGACGAGAGCCAGGACTCAGACTAGAGGACTGCCTCCTCCCCCTGCTCCTCTCTGCCCCTCTGGACCTGCCCCCTGGGTAGCCCTGCCCCTGGAAGCCCCCCCATCTCTGCCTCATTGGTCCTTCTGCTTCTGTCCCCACTTCCCCCTCCACCCTCTCCTCCAGCTTTTTTACTCTAGCATTAATTTTTGTATGGAGATCTTTTTATACAAATAAAATTGGACCTTTTATCAACAAATGGGGGACAGCAGGGGGCTGCAGTTCAGCAATGGGCATGGACAGGGGCCTGTGGGGCAGGAGTGAGGGGCACTGGCAGGGCTGGGGGTCACAGGTCAGCAGGAGGGCTTGGGGGGACACGGCTGTGGGGCGGGAGTGAGGGGCACATGCAGGGGGCTGCAGGGTGGGAGCGAGGAGCACCGACTGGGCAGCAGTTCCCCAGGCAGCCGCAGGGGGGCAGCACTGCCCTGTGCCAGGCTGGGAGGGGGGGGCAGTGCCAGCTGGAGTTGGGGGCGGGGCGGGCAGGGGATGAATGCCCCCACCAAGCTCCTGCTTCAGCCAGGCTGGAAATTTCCTCTGTCCCCTTGGGCTGCCCTTGAGCCATGAGCCCAGGCATCCAGGTGCAGCATCCACTCAATGGAGGGGGGTGTGTGTTGGGGACCCGGCTGTCTGGGTTCTCTCCCAGAAAGCGAGGGGGGGCCTCTAGGGATTATTCCTCACCCCCATGAGGCTGCTACAATCCCATAATCCTTGGCCTCGGTGGTGTCCTTACAGGGATTGACCTGCTTGTGTGTGTTGGGGGAGGGAGGGGACAGGACACCTGGGTTTTCTGGGCTTTCCACACCCCCCAGTAGCTCCCAGGGTGACAGAGAAGGAGTTGGGGGGGACTGTGGGTTGGGTGTGAAAAGCGCCAGCAAGGCAGGGGGCTAGGGGTGTGAAAGTCCCCCCTGCCACAGGTCAGGATCAGGCCCCTTCCAACAACTCTTCCCCAATAAAAAGCCCCCTCCCACCTTCAAGCAATCCCAGGCTTGGGTCGCTCCTGGTAGGGGGAAATCTCTACCTGGACTTGTCCGTACTGTACCCCCCCCACCTGCGATTAGGCCCATCCGCCTGGCATCAGCCCCCTGCGCTTCCTGCCCCCTCTTCCTCCAGCTCATCAGGCTAATGAAGGGTGACAAGCTACTGAGGCCCATTCATCCCCTGCCAACACCCCCCC